CCCCAAAACCCCAAAACCCCAAAACCCCTTTTTAATAAATTTACACTGAATAACAATTATTGAAGATATGCTAGGAAGATCCTTGCTAAAAAATGGTCAAAGATCCTTCGGGACGAGATTTAAGCCGAGACAAACCCAGTTGTTTATTGACGGTAAATGGGTAAATTCAGCCCACGGGGATACATTCGAGACTATCGATCCGTATACAGAGCAACCTATTATACAAGTACAGAGAGCATCAGTGGAAGATGTTGATAGGGCAGTCTATTCAGCCAGAAAAGCTTTTGACCAAGGCCCTTGGAGGAAGACAAGTGCTACCGAAAGAGGAGATCTTCTGATGAAATTATCCGACCTCATCATGCAAAATTGAGATGAGCTTGCTCATCTTGAAGCTTTGGACAATGGAAAACCTGTTACTTTTGCTAAAATGGGAGACGTTCCTGGTACAGCAAGAACATTCCAATATTTTGGAGGACTAGCCAACAAAATTGTAGGGGATACTATCCAAGCTCCAGGAAACTTCCATGCTTATACAAGAAAGGAGCCTGTTGGAGTTGCAGCGCAAATTATTCCATGGAATTTCCCATTGGTCATGCAAGCATGGAAACTGGCTCCAGCTCTCGCAGCTGGATGCACAGTTGTAATGAAGACAGCTGAGCAGACTCCTTTGTCAGCCCTTAGAATTGGAGAACTTATCCAGCAGGCTGGGTTTCCTGATGGAGTAGTCAATATCCTTTCAGGATTTGGGGAAGATGCAGGAGCATATCTAACCACTCATCCAGATGTGGATAAGATTGCATTCACAGGATCCACCGAAGTCGGTCTTGAAATTATGAGAAATAGCTCTAAAACAGGTCTTAAAAGAGTGACACTGGAACTTGGAGGAAAGAGTCCCAATATCATCTGAGAAGATGCTGATGTCAGCGAAGCTGTAGCTCAAGCAAACTTTGGGTGATTTGTAAATGCAGGACAGATATGCTCAGCAGGAACTAGAGTCTTTGTCCATGATAAAATCTATGATGAGTTCATTGATAAATCAGTACAGCTTGCTTCTCAAGCTGTACTTGGAGATTCTCAAGATCCAAATACTACTCAAGGCCCATTAATATCATCTGAGCAGAGAGAAAAAGTATGGGGATACATTGAGAGTGGAAAAGGTCAAGGAGCCTCAATAATGACAGGGGCTGACCCTTACGATGGGCAGGGATATTTCATAAAACCAACTATCTTTGCTGATGTTCATGATGAAATGACCATTGCAAAGGAAGAAATATTTGGCCCAGTCATGCAAGTCCTTAAATTCTCTGATTATGATGAAGTTATTTCTAGAGCAAATAATACTGATTATGGACTTGCTGCAGGAATTATGACAAATGATATAGGAAGAGCCTTCTATCTTGTCAATAGTCTCAGAGCTGGAACTGTGTTTGTGAATAACTACAGACTTGGATTTGACATATAGTTTTGTGGAACAGTGTATAATCAAATCGATGCAACTCGCCCATTCGGAGGATTTAAGAATTCAGGCATTGGTAGAGAGATGGGAATCCAAGGATGTGATCCTTATCTTGAGACCAAAACTGTGATTATGTCTAGACCAGAAGGATCACTTCCATAGTCTTATTTAAAATATCTAAACTGGGGTTTTGGGGTTTTGGGGTTTTGGGGTTTTGGGG